AAATGTTTCCTTTGAAGGTCGCAGTGTTATTGTCGAATGTTGTTGAGTTTTTCTTATTGGAGAAAGGCTCAATGCATCCCTGTCAACCTTTTCTCAGTGCCCTACCTTATCACAGACCAATTCACACCTTATTGGTCACCCCGTGCCCTTACAATTCTCAACGTTCATCCGACAAAGTCCCATCACAAGGGAGAAACACAAACAAATGGACAACATTGATTTTTTTGATGTATTGAAACGGCTGTACCGTATGGACCTGAACTCAATTTCCCTGTACAAGAATGTAAACCGTGTGGCTTGTTGACACGGTATGCGTATGTAGCCAACCGTGCTAATTGGAGGTGCTGGGAAGGACAACATGGATCTGTTGTGTGGAGGAACAGGTATATGAAGGATGTCTACTTATTTGTTCAATTTATAAGTGAGGCTCAGGAAATGAGTCACTAAGTAAGCCGGTGGGAAAGCACATTTACGTAATTTCAACAAAACTTTTTATACTAGCCTTTTGCCCGTCCTTGGACGGAAGCTGTAATATTTACAAAAAAATTGAGCAGATATTGTATCTTGTGTAACTTTATTGGCAGTGAATCTTGCACAAATATACGTCATCAAACACTTCACTGCATTTCACTGCAGCACTGTATTAATGGCAGTGAATCTGGCACAAAACGAAGTCAAAACACTAATACAGTTCACTGTAGCACTTTATTAATGGCAGTGATTCTTGCACAAAACTACGTCATAAAACGCCTCACTTCATGTGACTGTAGCACTGTATATAACTGACCTTCAATTTGTTCAAATTTACTGCTCTGATACTTTATTCTCTTCTGCTTTCAGTCGCTGGGGTTGAAATAAATTGGAAATCGATACAATATCTGGAAAATCACGAGAAATGTATTTTACCATAATGTAGAAGCATTCATTAGACTTACCTTTTGTCTCAAGTGCTGAAGAAATAAATAAAGACACCAAATTTTCTTTGTTGCTGGGTAGATTTATTTATTACTAGCAGGAGGTACCCGGCATTGCCCGGGTCTTAGAAATATTTCAAAACTACTCTTAAAAATCTAACAGCAGTGCGTACTGACTGTGGTGGTACCTGCTATGATTACAGCAGTGCATACCCGACTGGTGGTACCGGCTATGATTACAGCAGTGCATACTGACTGGTGGTACCTGCTATGATTACAGCAGTACATACTGACTGGTGGTACCTGCTATGATTACAGCAGTGTATACTGTGGTGGTACCTGCTTTCACTACAGTAGTACATGCTGTCTCTATAGCACAAAGTACTCACCTGACAGAGTGGCGTGGTGAGGCCTAGTCCCGTGCAGAGCCTCCGGCCTCGCCTAGATTGTCCAGCCGGCCGAGGTGGCACCTTGGCAGGCTGGGGCTGGGCTGCTTCCCCTGAGCCCCACCCGCAGCCACGATTTCCCAGGCTGCTCTGCAGTAATATGTACGGCCTATAGTGGTAGCACCTAGCGACTGTATATATTAGTAACTGCACACATCGGGCTGGGGGGGGACATCACACAGTGAAGAATTTAGGTCAGCGTTTAGTTTATTTTTATAGCATTTTTAACGCGAAAGCAAATGTCCCCCCCACTCCCACCGAAGGCGTGCGACTTGGCATGGGCCGCCCCCCCCCCCCACCAAAGGCGCGTGAGTTGGTATGGTCTTGCGCGCGTCATAAATAAATAAAATGGAAGCACACACAAATCGCACTAAATCGCTAATTGAACTAATTTGAAGTTGACGGATGTGAAAAAGGATTAGCGCTTGCTCACCGCGGGGCTTACGGCGTGGTACCTAACGGAGAGCCAAGCGCACGACCACACACAAACCCACACGCAATTTTTGACTTTTTTTTTATATAGATGGATATTCACGTTCAATAAAGAAACGTGAAACTTAAAGCGAATTTGCGAAAAACATTTTATTTCCGCTCGACCTTCTGCGTGAGTGTAAAAATCCACCTGCTCATGAATATTAATGAAGGGGGGGCGGCATGTGGAGTGATGTCACGCGCGTTACGCACAGACATTCTTGGCTTGTAGTAATTGCCAGGTAAGGCCCCACTGAGCTGTATAGCTTTTTTTTTTCAGAAGCGGCCTGCCCCATCACAAACGAAAGCTCAACGAAGCAGCTTATCATCACGTGGAAATGTATAGCAGCAGCAGCCAAATACTTAAAAAGCGTGACTTGGATTATAAATGTGGAGGAGGAGAACCAGAGGACCCGGAGAGAAAAAAAAACACGGGGAGAGAGAGAGAGACATGCAAACTTAAAATGTATAGTTTAACACGTAGGTTTTCCCGACCGATATCCATAAGAGTTTTTTTTGGGTTAGATCGTGTAAATATATAAATGTGTCGTTAAAACCCACCACCACCCGACACGGCCAACTAGTAAGGATTGTGTCGGGTGGTGGCGAGTTTTAACGGCACATTTCGATATTTACACGATCTAACCCAAAACAACCTCTGGGTTAAAATATACAGCATGGGTCGGGATCGAACCCCCATGTGTTTACCTTGAGAGGCGAGCCAATGTGTTGGTTTCAGGCGTACTTTTGGCGTCCTCTGGTCTAACACCATTTAGAGACGAGGCTCAAAAGAAAGCTGTCTCTGGTGTGGACCAATCATTTTCAAGGACAATGCATATATTATCAGAGTACGTTTTTTGTTTGCATTCTGACCACAAGTATTGTGGTTAATGCAGACATGATTCCTTGTAAAAAGTTTCAATTTGGTGTTTTAACATCTTAACGCAGCTGTTTTGTTGCCAGTAAAAAGGGGAAAACCTATTCTCATATTTTTGTACCAGCAAAGGAGGTCCCATGGTACATTGTTAATATCAGCTCGGGGTGCACCAATCGGTTCAGGTGGGGGACCCTCAATTTTTGATTTGGCTCTTCGCACGGTTGCACCTCGAGGCTGTTATCTCTCGCGGCCTCCTCTTGCCCTAATGGCATTGTGGTTACGCTCACGGTCTCGAACATTTAACGCTGTAGGGGTGCGTCGAGCTCCGTCTTTGCAAAATGCAGCCAATGTACCGCAGCTCTGCTTGTTTACGTGGTTTACACTGCGAAGATGATGACAAAGAGCATAGAAACAGACGCGCGATGGCAAATTAGCGGAAGCCAACACGTTACCGCTGTGATTAATTTAAAGTAAAACGTGGAACGTAAATGAAAGCATTTTCATTAAAAAAATGTAAACCGCGCGCGTTGTAACGTGAGTAGTTCTACGCTGTTGTCGTAAACAGATCTCATGGTGGCTGTCAAGGGTGGGGGGCCCAACTCGTAACTTTGGCCACCCAGGAAGGGACCGAGGCACCCCCTGCCCAACCCCCATGCTACGTTAACGCTACTGAGCAGTGCCAATGATCCACAGGGAACGATTGGAGAACTTCACAAAGATGAAAGGAGGCTGTTATTTTCATTATTTTCCCCTCACCTGCCACCTAAAGTTCACGGCTGCAGCACCGTGTGAATCTACTCGCTTTCCCAATCATCAAGTACGCTACTCGCCGGTTATCACTGTTCGTGAATTGTTCATAAACGCAAACCTAAAAGCGTGTTGTTTGATGGTACGAAAAGAGGAAACGCTGTGGACTTCATTTCCGCAGCTGGACTCGCTTCAGTGCTTTGTTTACCCCCTCTCCCATGACAATGCTTAATTTCTAAACGTTCGTGAGGTTATAACCCCCGCAAAGTCGGAGCATTTGGAAGAGCGTCATGATGCAACAAACCAAGGGGATGCAACAAACCAAGGGGATGCACACCGAGCAAAGGGGAAGCAGTTATGAGACGTAGTGCACATTAGTGTATCGCGTTCCAGAGGAACGGACTGAATAACCTTCTGCACTTTTCCCGTACGATACTTGTTCGGAAAAGTGCAGAAGGTAATTCAGTCTGTTCCCCTGGAACGGGGCAGTAGAAGTTGCGATCCTGAAGAACATCGTGTTATAGAAAAATGGCGTTATAATCTATAAAGTAGGGTGAAGGACGGTCCTCGATAACACGTGAAATGCATACGCAGGCCGAACAAGAAGCGGACGGAGAGAGTGTTTTTCACCAGCTTGGACTGCATACGTGTGATAAAGAGCTTCATGGCTCATCTGATTGTCCCAGATTAAATATAAAATTTCTACGTCGATGGTGGCTCAACGCCACGTGGAAGACTCCTCAACGTGGGTGGAGGAATCAATGAGCAAAGTTTACGGGAACAGTAACTACACGAGCACACGGAAGTCAGCAGCTGTCTCCAAGCATAGACTGGACACCACTGTAGGATTTACTGTCTCGTTCTCCTATAACGCGGTGGTGGTTGCGTTCCGTGAAGAACACGCCGTTGTGGAAAAATCGCGTTATAGTAAATAAATGATGAATAATATAGGGGGGTAAAGCACAGTCCGCGATAACACGTGAGATGCGTACGCAGGCCGAACAAAGACTGAGGCGCGCGGGTATCATCTAGAAGCATCTCGTAGCATCCCAATGCCTTGTGGTGATGCTCCGCCGAGGCAGCCGTACGACCGCTTATTCCTACTCGCAAGCGACATAGTTCTGTTCACCCGATCGCGTTACATCCCAATTCGCATCGGCGTAATATAACAGCAACGTGTTCCCCAAGTACATTAATAGCGTCATGAATCGAATTCGCGTCATGAAAACACGCGGCGTTATATAAGAGAACAGACTGTCTCTAGGAATACTGTTTTGTACCTGATTAACCCTGTAATGTTAGAGCTACACTTGAAAAACTGTAGGCTATAAAGTTGACAATTCTTGACTTGGACTGCCACTAAAGCAACATTTAAAAACAAGACTAAACCACGTATGAATAAATATAATCGTCTTGGTCTTGCGGTTGCTCAGGACACCCATGATCATAACAAGCAGTGTCGGCGATCTGCAGGGAATGATTGGAGAATTTCACAAAGATGGAAGGAGGCCGTTGTTAATCTTCGTTATTTTTTGTTCCCGCCAGCTTTAAGTTCACGGCTGAGGCTGTAATTTCGTAAGTTGTCATCACCTGGAGCAGGAGTCAGCAACCTGCGGTTACGGAGCAGCACGCTGCTGACTACGGACTGCGTCATGACACAATGTACGAGCAGTGTGTACTCGCGTGCAATCCGGCTCTTGAGACGTTGAATTTTGTACCGAATTCGCCAAAAAAAAAAGCCCATCTTGTTATTTTCGTTGCCGACCCCTGACCGAGATAGACGAAGACTACGACTTTTAAAAAATATATATAAAATTCTGACGGCGCGTAGAGTTGTCTCAGCCTGGCTCTCACGGCCTCCATGCCCTCCACAGGGTGCACTTCAAGCCTCCTGCCTTCATCATTCGCTCGCTCATTCTCTCTCACGCCGCTCTCTCAGCTCTCCACCTTCCCCCCACGAGCGCTCTCTCCTTCTTGTCCTCATGCCCTCTCTACGCCGCTACGCGGCCGTCGCCACACCGATAGATTGTTTTTCTTTTAAACAGTTTTCATACGTTGGCTTTCACGACCGATATGATTCACAATCAGTTTATTTTGGATTCACATGTAGGTGTGATTCCAATGTTGCTAATAAACCAATGAACTTGTTACATTTGCCCATGTTACAACTTAATTTGTTGGCTCTCTTGGGTGGTGGAGGCTTCTAGTTATAAGTTGACATTTCGACGTGATCTTACCCACAATTAATTCATGAAGAATATATTTTTTTAAGTTATTTGGTTGCTTAACTAGCTTAAAATCCCCCACACCTCTGGGCGGTGTCACTGGCTAAGTGGTGTGGTAAAGTTGTTGCAGTAATTGAGGAGATTTGCTGTCACCTTAAAAACAGAGGAGGTGGTGTATAGATGGCGAGAAGTCGTGCAACGGGCCAAGAACTTGCTATCGGTAGCCTAATTGCCAAATGGCTACCGACTGAAATTGCCAATGTTTAAATCGTGAATGTAGATCCTGTGCTGTGTTTATATGGGTTAGGGTTAGGTTGGTGTCCCGACTGAACATACAGGAGAAAATGAAAATGTTTCATAACATGAATGCTGTACTGTATATGCAAATAACATACATACACTTAGTACAATATTACAATAAAACAATGCAGCACGATAGAATACAAAACATCAATAAATTATACTGCAGATTTGTAAGTTGTATTAATAGGAGTGTGATGATGATGGTGTGATGATGATGATGATGGGGGTGCTATGATGATGGTGAGCAGACCCCCCCATCACCGCTAACAAAAGCATCAGTCACTGTTTAAGCTGAACTCATCACCGTTTTCTGCACTGTACTCTTGCTCTCACTCCACCCACTTGACGTTGGGACCTCAATGATCAAAATAAAAAAAAATGCCGCTGCTGCGCTGCACAGGTAACGCCCGCACACCCCCCCCCCCCCCCCTACAAGATGCGTTGTTGTCAAATGGCGAAAAGTTGACGGGGGAAACAAAGCACAAAGGTTGAACTGGTGTACAAATATAAAATTGCGAATAATCGCATTTCATGAAGTCAACCACGAATGTAGAGGTTTCCCTGTACACTTTAGGCTTAGGTTTCAGGCAATGACCCTTCAGAGTAGAGCAAATGCTCAATATGCAGTGTGGAGTGTGGAAACCGCTAACATTTTCTGAAAGTATACATGTGGACAGTTATCAGATGTTGACAATGAGTGGCATTTAAGCCCTACAAATATTAATAAACTGTTGTTGATGTGCGCTCTCTGTCCCCTGGATGTCGTAGGCCTCCCTGTACCCCAATCTGCTGCCCCAGCACCGCCATAGCCAAACCAGCAATGCTCGGCATGGCCTGTGACGAGGAGGCCCTGCTGGACCTCATGTTGCGCACAGGGTACAACATGATCCAGGAGAACGGGCAGAGGAAGTTCGGACCACCGCCCGGTATCCAACATGCACAGAGACTCGCGCACATGGGCACACTTGCAGTCACAGCCGCTATGCACACAAAAAAATACACGCGCACATCTGGTACACACTTGGGTACGAATAAAGATCCACCTATGAAGGCTCGTATGGCACACAAGGGGGTGGGTGGCCAGGACCACACCCTGCTGCCTTTGTCTCCCGAGAGGCGATGTTTACACATAGTACCAGGTACTCATTTGAGGCTGAGTCGACCTAGAAAAAACCCAGGACTGGATCACATATTCAGTACTGAAGTTGGCAATGATTGGGAATAGATAACCATGACCACATACAGTGAGGGAAAAAAGTATTTGATCCCCTGCTGATTTTGTACCTTTGCCCACTGAGAAAGAAATGATCAGTCTATAATTTTAATGGTAGAGAGACAGAATAACAAAAAAAATCCAGAAAAACGCATGTCAAAAATTTTATAAATTGATTTGCATTTTTTCGATTTAAAGCTTTCGTGACTGCAAGGATTCATCTTCTTTGGTTCTTTCGGTAAAGTCACGTAGAATGAGAATAAAACAATAAAATAATCAAATAACATAATAAAATTATCACGACATTTCGGCCACAACACAAGCAGCCTTCAAGTGAAAGAACAAAACTGTCGGGACGACAGCTTCAATTAACGCTGCTAAGATTCGCAGCGTCTTTTTAAGCTCGGTGAGAGGCGCGGCGAGCCTTGACAAAGGAGTTTACATATCAGAGCAGGAGACTTTAGCATTGAAATAGTCGAGGGATTAGCTTGTGACAAAAATAGCTGTGTTTAAGTCAAAGTTTACATATCCACAGAAGCATTTAGTTTATGGACGCTAAAGGTCTCCAATTACCAACTATTATAAAGTAAACCATAGCGTCTTTTAAGTTCGGTGAGAAGCTTGAAGAGCCTTGACAAAGGAGTTTACATATCAGAGCAGGAGAATTTAGCATTGAATAGCCGAGGGATTAGCTTGTGACAGAAATAGCTGTGTTAAAGTCAAAGTTTACATATCAACAGAGGCATTTAGTATATGGACGCTAAAGGACTCCAACTAACCAACTATCATTAAGTAAACCGATGTAAAAAATCTAAGTCTATATCACATCAATATAATAAATGTACTTAATATATTCTTCAATAAGCTGAGCTATTAATCATACAGCAACTGGGTATACATTACACTATATCATGAATACCATATAGTAAACCAATAAAAAACTAAAATATAAGCTCAATGTTATCAATAAACTCTATATACTCTCCAATCAGCTGAGCAGCTAACAATAAGTCGTTGTATATCACAATGTTAAATGGCGAAAAATGGTGGTTTTTCCCATCCCCTTAACATCAGCACCAAGGACAGCGACATTCAGGCGGACGTGTCAATCCCTGCTCGGAAGGGAGGAGGAGGGAGGGAGAAACAGCCACAATGCCAGCGAAAGAGCTGCGGTCTGACGGTCACCATAAAATACAATTAATTAAGAACCGAAATGGTTTAAAACATTTTTCCAATGGGGTTACTAAGCCAGAATCCATCTTCTCGGTTGAAATTGTCTGTGTTTGTATATGTGGATGGTCTCATGAACGAATCTCTCATGGTAGCCGGTTGGCTTGCAAAGAACCTCCGTCTTGGAGAAGTCAATGTCATGTGAGCCCACTGAATTATAACAGTGATCTGCCATGGCAGAGGAGTTCGTCCTACCGTGTTTCAAGTCTGCTTTATGTTCGCGGATGCGGTCCGAGATATGTCGTTTGGTTTCCCCAATGTAGTTGCTACCACAGAGGCATTTTAGTTTGTAAACGCCCGGGTACTGTATGTCTGGAACAGCATATTTGACAGATGGAACCAGATCACGGATTTTATGTACTGTGTTGAATCGGACCTGGATCTTGTGTTTATTCAGGATTTTGGAGATCTTTTTAGTAACCCCTGCAATGTAGGGTAAGGTGATGGTTTTGAGTGGCTCTTCAAGAGGATCCTTCTTCATGACTGGAGTGATGGCTTTGCGGATTGTGTAGTTGAAGTAACCATTAGCCCTGAGAGTCTGGTGTACGTGTTTGAGTTCACTGGCAATGTGTTCCTGGTCGGAAATGCATTGGGCTCTATGGTATAGAGTCTTGATGAGGGAGTTCTTCTGGGATAGATGGTGGTGGGAATCCGGTTTCAAGTAAGCATCTGTATGGGTAGCTTTTCTGTAGACAGAATGGCTCATTGAACCATCAGGTCTCCTTTTAATTAAGACATCCAAAAAGGGTAGCTTGCCATCTTTTTCGACCTCCATGGTAAATCTGATGGATGGGTGTATGGAATTGATGTGGTCGAGAAATTGGTCTAGAGCAGGCTGGCCATGTGGCCAGATGACAAAAGTGTCATCCACGTACCTCTTCCATAAGGTTGGGCGTAGAGTGGCAGTCCGGATGGCGTCAGTTTCAAATTTCTCCATGAAAATGTTGGCTACAACCGGAGACAAGGGGGAGCCCATTGGGGTGCCCTCCGTCTGTTTGTAGAAAGTTCCATTCCAGGTGAAGTATGTGTTGGTTAAGCAATGTCTCACCAGAGGGGGTACATCAGTATGCAGTCCTTGATGAAGCAAGTCTTCAATGATTGCGATGGTTTCAGGTACCAGAACTTTGGTGAATAAGGACACCACATCAAAACTGACAAGCAGGTTGTCTGGGGACGTCGAAATACCTTTGATTGCCGATACCAGGTGAGTAGAATTTAGTACCGCAGAGGTGGTTTTTCCAGTGATAGGTCGCAGTATATCAGCCAGAAAACGTGCCAGTTTATAGGTGGGGGAGTTGATAGTGGAGACGATGGGACGAAGGGGTGTATCTTCTTTGTGTATCTTTGGGAGGCCATATAATCTTGGTGGTCTGGCAGCAGAGGGTTTCAACGAGAACTGTTTGGTCCGATCAATTGATGCTGTTGAATCGGAGATTATTTTGTTCGTTTTGGTAACCAGGCTGTTGGTGGGATCTCTTTTTATTATTGTATAGCTGCCATCGTTGAGTAGTTCTTTAATTTTGTTGTTATATTCTGTTTTGTCCATGATGACAGTGGCATTGCCCTTGTTGGCTGAGAGGACGACAATATCATCTCTCTTTTTTAATTGAGATAATGCAAAGCGTTCATCTTTGCTAATGTTGCCAGGTGGCATCTTAGCGTTTTTGAGGGTTGCAGCGATTTCAGATCTTGCTACGTCTGCAGCAATGTGACTCAAGCCCTTGAGTGCAACGTCAACATGGGCAATGATATCATTAACCGGTAAGTGTCTCGGTGTGACAGCAAAGTTTAGACCTTTAGCTAAAACGGATTTCAGACAATCAGAAATGGAACTGTTACTGCGATTAATTACGACTTTGTTGACGTCTATCTTTTCAGTGTGTGGATCCGATTTTTTGTTGGAGAGGCGATTAAATTTGGAAATCAAGTTGTCCCTACATTTGGTCGACAGTGGCAGCCGAAGAGGTAGTCATATTGTCTACATGTTCCCAATCCGATTTAGACATCGTTGCTGTCAATGTTAAGTGTGATTTGTAGAGTATCTTTTCTAACTGATCAAGTTCGGTGCGTGTAAGTCTTATTTTTTCGGAGATCAGAGCTAAGCTAGATCTAGCAAGAATTCGTTTTGCATTGAGAGAAGTTGCAGCAGCAGAGGTTAGTGTAAATGCGGTTGATATTACCTTAGAGTCACGGCATCTCTTCAGAAAGGTGAGAGACTCGATTAGTTGAGCCTTCTTATCCCGGAGTCTGTTGAATGATCTTAAGGTTGTGTGGAATCCCTCCCCGTAGAGGCGGTTAAATTTCGATTTAAAGCTTTCGTGACTGCAAGGATTCATCTTCTTTGGTTCTTTCGGTAAAGTCACGTAGAATGAGAATAAAACAATAAAATAATCAAATAATATAACAATAAAATTATCATGACATTTCGGCCACAACACAAGCAGCCTTCAGGTGAAAGAACAGAACTGTCGGGACGACAGCTTCAATTAACGCTGCTAAGATTTGCAGCGTCTTTTTAAGCTCGGTGAGAGGCGCGGCGAGCCTTGACAAAGGAGTTTACATATCAGAGCAGGAGAATTTAGCATTGAAATAGTCGAGGGATTAGCTTGTGACAAAAATAGCTGTGTTTAAGTCAAAGTTTCCATATCCACAGAAGCATTTAGTATATCGACGCTAAAGGCCTCCAATTACCAACTATTATAAAGTAAACCATAGCGTCTTTTAAGTTCGGTGAGAAGCTTGAAGAGCCTTGACAAAGGAGTTTACATATCAGAGCAGGAGAATTTAGCATTGACTAGCCGAGGGATTAGCTTGTGACAGAAATAGCTGTATTAAAGTTAAAGTTTACATATCAACAGAGGCATTTAGTATATGGACGCTAAAGGACTCCAACTAACCAACTATCATTAAGTAAACCGATGTGAAAAACTAAGTCTATATCACATCAATATAATAAATGTACTTAATATATTCTTCAATAAGCTGAGCTATTAATCATACAGCAACTGGGTATACATTACACTATATCATGAATACCATATAGTAAACCAATAAAAAACTAAAATATAAGCTCAATGTTATCAATAAACTTTATATACTCTCCAATCAGCTGAGCAGCTAACAATAAGTCGTTATATATCACAATGTTAAATGGAGAAAAATGGTGGTTTTTCCCATCCCCTTAACATCAGCACCAAGGACAGCGACATTCAGGCGGACGAGTCAATCCCTGCTCGGAAGGGAGGAGGAGGGAGAAACAGCCACAATGCCAGCGAAAGAACTGCGGTCTGACGGTCACCATAAAATACAATTAATTAAGAACCGAAATGGTTTAAAACATTTTTCCAATGGGGTTACTAAGCCAGAATCCATCTTCTCGGTTGAAATTGTCTCTGTGCTTGTATATGTGAATGGCCTCATGAACGAATCTCTCATGGTAGCCGGTTGGTTTGCAAAGAACCTCCGTCTTGGAGAAGTCACTGT